ATGCGTCTCTCAAACTATTAAGATCCCTCACTAGCGACAAGTTATGTCTGATGAGGTAACTGCTGTCCTTCAAAACAATACCTAGGAATTTGTCCTACTGACTCTGCTAAAAATATAATTAGGTTCTGTGTTAAATGAACCATGGTCGCTTCATTTCTCGCTATAAGGCCAGACTTGTGTATAAGAGTTCCATTAACAATCCAGTGTTGATTTTTCGGACACTTTTAGTCAGATTGTCAAACATATAACGCAATAAAAAGACTCAATATAGTCTCAATAAACTCTCTCTGCATGGTATAAAGAGCTCAAGGGTTTTCTCTTGTCCTATAAGTTCCTCAACTCCACTAGTGACTCCTCTCTATTTATTTTCACTGAATTCATGTCATTCTGTACTTTCTTGTTTATATAAACGATCTTCTAGTCACAAGTAATCATCCCAAACTCTTGATTATTTTCTTATTGCTTTGTCTACCCACTTCTTGGTCAAGGACCTCAATCCACTCAATTACTTCTTAGGTGTCCTATTCAGACGGCATGTTACTCACCCAACATAAATATATCAACACTATTCTTTCTTAGGCTAATATAGAGAGTGCTAAGGAGTGTATCATCCCCATAGCCACCTCTCAATCTCTGACCCTCATTGATGGTTCACCACCTAGTGATTCAACTCGCTATAGACAAATTCTTGATGCCTTATAATATCTCTCTCTTACTCAGCCTTGTGTCTCTTTTGCTATAAACTCTCACGATCCATGCACAAACCCATTGGAAATTATTGGACAACTGTGAAACATATCATTCGTTACCTCATACATACTATCTATCATGGCTTACTCTTAAGAAAAACACCTAGTCTTCCCTAGTTGCGCATATTGATGTTGATTGGGCTAGTAACCTTGATGATCATTCTTCCACGTCAGCTTATGTTCTTTATCATTGTAAGAATCCTGTCTCTTGAAACTCCAAAAAGTGGAAAACAATGGCTTGCTCTTGTAATGAGGCTGAGTATCGAGCATTTGCCTCTTGCTCAACTGAACTTCATTGGGTTAGCAATCTTCTACACGAGCTCCCCATTACTTTTTCTACCAAGCCAACAATTTATGCAATAATATTCGTGCTACTTATTAATCAGTTAATCCCGTGTTTCACTCACGCACGAAACGCAACATTGTTTATCATTGTTGGCAGAAATCATGTTACCGGTGGTTCATTCTCAGTCTCTTACATCTCATATAGAGACCAGCTAGCAGATGCTCCGACCAAGTCTCTTGCCTCACCAACTTTCCATCATTGCGTCTCAAGATTTGAGTTTCAAATGGAAGATCCATCTAGCGGGGATATTAAGTTTAGTAATAATTCAAGTCAGGACATGGCTTGAAGCAATTGGATCAGCTATCAACGACCTAGCTGAAGCCGTATTTTGGTTACAATCTAGATTTTATCTTAGGTTTGTTGTATTTCAAATTTCTATTCGATTTATTTTAGATTAGGTCCATCTCTTAGCTCAATGTATTTTAAAATAGGCCCTTGTTTGGCCCCCATTATAATGAGTTTTTTTTTTTTGGAAATAATGTATTTTGGAATGGTAATTTTTGGGAGAGTGCGTAGTTAAAAAAGAAGGAAAAATTTTTGATTTACGTGTAATATTATTTTATTGAAGAATGTTTGGTTGAAAAAAAAAGTAAGAAAATTGTATTAAAATTTTAATGAAGGCCAAACATGGGCTAGGTCTATCTCTTGTTACATATTCGTTG